AAATTGGCTCTGAATATTACCTGGTTGGGGTGATAAGTGCATACTCATCTCATTCAAATGTAAATCTTAATTGTACTCTTTCATTCCTCATTTGCGATGCTTGTTTCTTTTTTTTTTTTTTAAATTTCGCACCCAGTTTCAGTTTGCTGAATATATGTAGTTAAAGGTACAAACAAGGTATTGTCGCTTTCCTTTCCTTTCTGTTTATTAACCGTCGTCTTTCTAAACCTTGCAGATCAAACTCGGCAGGAATTTGGACGCAGATGTGAACGACACTTCGCAGCTTTAGAAAGGTGGCCTGTTACCAGCCCAGTCCCCCTTCGGTGGTGCAACGTCTTTGTGCTACATTTTTTCTTTACACGTGTGCGACAGAGTCAAATCAAATGAACTGGCTACAGTTGAGCCTGCTGCGTGTAAACTTTCCATTGTCTGCCTTACCTCACTTTGCCTATTTTACCGCCCTCACCCCCCCCCCCCCCCCCCCCCGGGCCCCTCCCACCCCTTTCAAAGCCTTTTATACATTTATTGATTGAAACTGCATAATCCCTCAAAGTACCTTAATGCGGACAAACTAAATAGTGTGTCTTTTGGTTTATTATGTAGAATTTCTGAAAGTGGTGCCTTATTTCTAAAATGGTGAAACAACGTGCACTATCTGCGTGTTTGCTTTATTGTTTGCTCAAGTAAAGGCAGGTATACTAATTTCTTAGGCCCGCTTCAGACAGAGCAATTTCACCCAGCAATTTGACGTCGCAACACCAGCAACACGGGCCGCCCGCTTTCACACGCAGCAACCGAATTGCTCCGACTTGCCATCATCATCATTAAATTTGATTATTTTTTCACTATTTAGACGCCCAGCTACGCGCTAAAAACGCGTTCTTATATCTTTGAACGGCGTTGAGAATACTAACTAATTTTTCTGAAACTGTTTATTTCCGAAAACGATCCATACCAAACCAGAACTAAGTCTTTAGCTGTCATCATCACCACCACAGGGGTGTCACATGAAAATATCGCTTCTCTGATTGGCTGCAGCCGCTTCAACCGTCTTCAAATTGCTCCGAGTCGCTCGCTTGTTCGAGCCGGACCCGATCTCAGCAATTCGCGTCGATCTAGGGAAAGCTAGGGAACAACCCGCCAGCAACCTCAAAATTGCTGGAAAAGTTGCCCCGTCTGAAGGGGGCCTTAGTGCCATGCTTACAACCGCAGATGCTTAAAACACTGGCGAATACTTATGACCGGCACCGCAGCGGCCGGTCATCAGCAGTCGCAACATGGTTCACAAGCCCCTCCGGTCGTAAGCAGTCACAAGTGTGTCAAATGCCAAAATTCATTCCCTTAGGACAGTACTCTCATATTGGTTCGTAAGAAAAATATCTGCAGACGCGTTCAAAGCACACACATATGTGTGCTTTGAACACGTCTGCAGACAGTTTTGGTAGGCCCAACATGAGATGACACGAGAAAGAAACGCGTTCAGATGGTATTTGCACACTGCTTTTTCCTTGGTGTACGAGCAGTCTTACCGGGACTTTACGGAGCGAGTCAAGAAAACGTCAGAAGATGATTAGTCTGCTAACGTGAGTGAACAATATAATTCTTTCTTTCTTTTTTTCTTTTCCTTTATTATTCCTTTGTTATTCTTTTTTTTAAATACACAATCGTTGCTTGGACCCATAGCCGTGGAGGCTAGTCGCGGGTCCAACATTAGAAATAACCTTTACAATGCGGCAGGCAAACAAAACAAATGTACGCACGCATCAAAGTATTCACGAAACAACATACATACTAATTGAAAAAAATATATAGGGCATGATATTGAACTTATTCATTGGCTCGCAATTTAATTAAATACTTTAAGGATGGCAATATATTGGGTTTACATTTGATGTCGGTAGGGATATCATTCCATACCAGGGCACCGTTGAATTCAATAAGCCTTTCTCCATAAACATTTCGACAAGATGGAAAATTAAACAGATTATTTGCTGCAGCTCTCGTATTCCGTAATGGTAATTTAAATATCTGTAATGGGAGTGGGTCGTAAGTTTTTAATATTTTAAAGACTGTTTCAGCTATTTTTAAGTTGTATACGTCTGCTACGTCTGCTGTACACGTAATTCGTCTGCTACGAACGTTATTCGGAGAAAAACTGCCTTCATTCTTCTCCGTAAACGGAAAAGAATAAAGGCAGAGTGCCTGGCGGCACTCTGCTGAAAGCCGAGTGCCGCCAGGAAGTGATACGGGACGTAAGCTGAAACTAAAATGGTCTGCTATAGTTCCCGTTCGATGGGATCGACAACAAGCGCTCCCTCTGCTAATTTCCAGCTCTGCTGCCCTATATGGGTCAAATTCTCCTATGTATGTAGTACTCGGGACAAATACTTTAAATACCTCGAGAACCCTGTCATCATCCGTGTGTTAGTGAGAAGCTTTCAACAAAAGGACTCGCGAACAGACTAGAGATTATCTAGTGACATTGCTTCGCACTTGTCGATAACTCTCGCAGAGCAAAACGCTGAGGCGTCATGTCCAATCAGTAACCGAGAATGCTATCGCTCTCATCAGGTACCAAAACCGACCCCTAAAGTTGGTTTTGAAAAGCTGGAGGAACAGGGCTGAACAGAGTCAGTAATAAGAGCCATGTTCCAGCCTGAACCATGCCCTCAGGGTCCGAGAAGACTTTACAGAGGAGGTGGGTAGAAGTTGTTAGAAGTGCATAAACAAAACTACGAATGAACTAACGAGGGATTCGAAATGTGTAAAGCTATGGCGGTCTTGAAGATAAGACGTCTTCAGAGGAAAACTGAAGCGGTTTTGTAATTGAGAAAACACACTTATATTGTCTTAATTCGGCTTCCAGGAAGCCCAATGTTGAAAATGTTTCAATTTCATGCACGGAGGCAGCAGAAAATAATTTTCAAAGTACCGCTGAAGCCCCTCCTTCCCGGAGCGTGCCATCATAAACGGAGTTTCCGGAATCTCCGCTTTCGCGCATCTTCAGTGCCTATCGAAGTTATGCACGCGACTCTTGCTATTTTTAAAAAAGAAAAAAAAAAAAAAAAAGACGTCATGGTTGCTGCTAGTGCGGGGGAGTGGCAAGCCTGCGATTGCTCACGAGCGACACGCGCACGGCGGCCGAAAGATTCTTTTATGACGTAACGACTAGTCGGACGTTTTTCGTGTGTTCTCGCGTTTAGTTACATCTTCGGGGAAAACGAACAAAATCTTTAGAATTACGGGATCAAAAACGCAGATATCAACCTCTATCTCATTTTTCGGAAGAAGCGTTTCACCTTCTCTTAAGATCAAGAGGAGAAAGCCTCTCAAGCTTGTCTTGAGTTTGAAGAAATAAAAAGGAGAAAATAAACATTTGCTTTGCAATAAGGACTGTAAACTTTTGTACTCGTGTTGAATGGTGATCAATTTATAATGAAGATCGCTTAACCAAATTATAGCGTTTTATAATCAACTTCTTGATGATCTAATAGGCTTTTTACCAATGGGGTTCTATGGGGAACTCGTGAACGTGAACCAAGTATCTCAGGTAAAACTCGTTCTCCCTAAGTGGGCCCCGCTTATGTTAGTTGTTGACAAAATGCGAGCCTGAATGATTGATCTACACTGCATATCATTTTACAAATGGTGGCATTAGTCGAGTGTATGCGGCACAGACGGAACCGGCAAACATTTTCCCCCTCGCTAGCGGTTTGACGCTGCATATTTAATGAAACATCTCTCGTGGAAATAGAAATGGTCAGTGTTATTTGGCCAAGCCATTCACACTTGGAAATATTATAGTCGCATAGGACTTATTTTTTTCGCGTCCTTCAGATTGAAATTTCTCGCAGATACCCACCTACTGACAAATGGTGTTGTTATCCATGCCCTGTTTAATCTCGAAATTGGCCTTCAGTTTTTTACTTGATTAAACTGAAGTGCAAATGCGCGTTTTTCCATTTGTTGCCTTCTTTTTTCTCGTCCCTGCGTCGTAATTCGTAATCATTTACTCCGCAGTTTAATCAAGTAATGAATAGCCAACTAGACCGATTAGAAGCACTGGCACCCTTCAGTTTTAGATTTTCTCATCCAATGTGGCGATATTTAAGAGCAGGTAAAGTAACTTTGTGTTGGCGGCTGTTTACTAACACTCATTATTCTAAACTTTGCAGGCCGAGCTGACCGGAAATGCACTTAATGCAAATATGAGCAACCCTTCGCTGCCTAGGAAGGAGGGTTGCGCAACTTTGGCAGTGCCAGACCTTTGGACTACATTTTCCTCCAGATGACCGGAACCAACTAGCCGGATCAAATAAGGAATGGCCACAGCTCAGCCAACTACATGCGACATTTTTATTCCCTTCCCTACCTTCGCTTGCCGACACACCGTGTCCGTTTTTTTGACGTGTAATTCCGAAAACCTTTGGCGGTGATATACCGTACAGTTGTTGGTTCTGTGGCATGCCTGCCTTTTTTTCAGCACTACAGAGCAGGAGTGACGTAACCAAACCACGCTCCTTGATCGTAATTAGTTGTGTCTTCGTCGATTTGTGTGGGACTGTATCGACGTAATACTTTACCGCATGCTTAAGGTGGAGTGAAACCTTTGAAGTACGTATTTAATAGAGAAGGACCGCTTTTATGTATGATTCACGTGCAATTTTTACAATCGATTTTTTCGTAATTTTCGGTATTCAGTTTGATGCCGGTGTTTTTTCGTGATATGATTCTTTTACCTTTTGAATTACACCGCAATACGAATGTAAACCCCTGAATTTCTCTACTTCATCAGTACAGTGTGTCTATGTTTGCTTGTTCCTTAAGTTCGTTCTGATTGGGCTTCTTTATTGGTGTAGTATAAAAATGATACTAAAGAAAATTTTATCTTCCTAACAGAACTTCCCCACGCAGCATTCGACTCCGAATGGCAGAGAACCGACTGCGAGGACAAGGGGGCGAAGCTTTCCTTTCAAGGAGCCGAATTCCAGAGGCAACCGATGGAGCCGCAGGGTTGGACGGACGGCGGTGCGACTTCTGCCCCCAATCTTATGGTGCCCAGAGAACTAACAACACCAGGTACGCGAAGACGCACACGGGAAAACACTCATCCAGCCTCGCACCTTCTTAACACACCCTCACATATTCATGAACGGTTGGTTCCACACAAATTGAAAACCTTTTTGTAGGCTAGGTTTTCTAGAAGGTGGAAAATGTCAGGAGTCTTAAGTGGTACACAAAGTGTTCCTTCCGTGGGATAAAGGGGTTACATTCCGAAGTCCGTGTACTACAACTATAGTAAAAGTAGACAAACAAGCTGGGCTCAACTGAAGGAGCATTCAGTCCGAGCACTCGAAGTTGCAACTGATACATCTTTTTTGATATCGGAGAAATGTACCATGCATGCTGAGTTGCTTATTTATATTACAAAAATGTATTTTTCCTTTAATTCCGGTTGATCGAGTAGCTCTCACAAATGCTATAAATTATGTTTGACGCATAAAATAACCCCAAAAGATTTGGATGTTTCAATTGCTTGAAGATTTTCTCACAACATTATTTGTGACACCTAGCTTTAGCTTTAGACTGGCAAAGGTGCATTTGAATGTCGAATTAAAACATCGTTTTTGCTGTTTCAGATTGCCCGTAAAATATTCGCTGTGTGCTTTCGCAAATTATTAAGTTTCTAAGGTACAAAACGAGTATTTTACGAGCCTATTGACTGCCATTTTGTGTAAGAAGTTGAAACTCTTAGGAGTCTGATGTTGTACATGAATTTCTTCCACGTGGAAAGTTCTTTAAGTTTGGTTAGCGCCCTGCAACGTGCAGAAAAGTACACCACAACACAATGCAAAGTTTATTTTCTTAGGAAGGGGGGGGGGGGCGATAAAGGAGTTACATTCTAAAGTCTGAGAGCGACAACTCAAGTGAAAGTAAACAATCAAGATGGGCTCTACTGGAAGAACATTCAGTCCGAGCACTAGAAGTTTCAATTGCTACACCATATTTGATGTCTGATATCGAAAAACATGTACCGTGTTGAGTTTATTTAAAAAAAATTGTCTTTTTTTTTTTTAGTTTCGGTAGATCCAGTAGCTGTCAAAACACTATAAATGATTTTTAATGAAGGAAATATCCCAATAAATGTTCGGTATTTCAAATGATTGAATATTCTCTGACAGCATTATTTGTGTCGCCGAAGTTTAGCTTTAGACTGGCAAATGTCTATACCAATGCCGATTTGAAATAGCGTTTTTCGATGTTTCAAATTGCTCGTAAAATAATCAAAGTGTACCTTAGCGATTTTTCAAGGTACACAACGATTGTTCTACGAGCCTATTGAATGCTATTTTGTGTAACATAATAATCTGTGGGTCTGTGAACGGCCCTTCCTTCGCTACTTGATACTCAGTCACGATCATTATGAATGTCAACACGCTATCACCCAGCGTTCCGTACAGGCAGTGTTATGCAGCCGCAGTGTTGTAGGCGTTACCGTAAAAAAGGAAAGATGCGTTATTCGTTAGTTGTCAAATAAAGGAACGCGTTACCGTCACCGACAGAAAGTAGCGCACGTTACTTTTGCGTTACTTTTTATTTAGAAAGTTACGGTAACAGCATTTTTGTTTTATTTTGGTGACAGAGTTTTTCGACACTGGGATGACGGGTGCGGGCGTTGGAGATTTTCTAAAGTGGAAATTTCTGCGTGGGAAAAAGAGAGGAAAATTTTAGAAAATATGTAGAATGAGTGCAATAATTAATTACTTGAATCATGTACTACGTTTCAGCTTAAATCTAGGCGCAGCCGACGCTACGAGCTAATGGGACAAATCAAGCAGTGTCAAAATCACAAGTCACTGGGCCATGAATGTTTATCGTTGGTTCAGCAAAGAATGAACAAGTACAGAAACACGGAGAACACCATGATGGTTCTCTTTTCTTTCACTCTGATAATTTCCATCAGCTTGTAGCGTGAGCTGCGTCTGGACTGGAAAAAAAAAAAGGAGGGACAAACACGTTTTCTTCCTCAAGTTTAATTATCCCTACCAACCCGCTCGTTCTGTGCTAACATCTTTTTTCAAGTTTTTGGAAGATGTAACGAGTAACGTAATTACGTTATCCGTTACTTGAAATAACTAACGAAAATACGTTACCCGTAACTGTCTTGGAAAAGTAACGATTACGTTACCATGTTACTGAAAAAAGAAAGGCGTTACCGGTAACGACGTTACTTGTAACACGTTACCGCCAACACTGTGCAGCAGCGACCGCGGCGGCTTGACTTCCCTTCCGCGCTTGTTAGCAGAACATGCAAGCCACCACAGCTGCCGCACCATGGGGCTGCCAGAGTCGAGTCTTAAACGATCGCCTGTAGACATTTACAAGCTTTGGGAATGAACCTTTTTAACATCTCAAATGAACGAATACCCACTGTAGGCCGCACCGTCATAATGTAGGTATACTGGACCATGTCCAGAACAATTAAAAATGCGCCGACCTTTCTTGCTCTGTCGTGTCATCCCAACAGACTGGATCGGAGCAGGCTATGGCGACAAAGTGGATACCTTTGACCGTGACAGCCGCAGAGGTGACACCTTTGCCGAGACCAACTGGTCGGACCCACAAAATCAGCAAACGCACCGACAACCGGACAAGCACCCGTGCCGCTTCTGTCCTCACTCATGCCCTTCCGCAACGGCTGTCGCCATCCACGAGAGGACTCACACTGGCGAAAGGCCCTTCAGTTGCGATGCCTGCGAGAAAACGTTCACGCATAAGACTAACTGGAAGGCTCACGTTAGAACTCACACCGGAGAGAAGCCGTTCAAGTGCAACACGTGCAGCAGGGCCTTTACTCTGAAATGCAACTTGGCGGATCACGAAAGAATTCATACAGGAGAGAAGCCGTTCAAGTGCAGCACGTGCAGCTGGGCGTTTACTCACAAAACCAGCTTGGCGAATCATGAGAGAACTCATACCGGAGAGAAGCCGTACAGGTGCAACACGTGCAGCAGGGCCTTTACTCAGAAAGGCACCTTGGCGGATCATGAGAGGACTCACACCGGAGAGAAGCCGTTCAAGTGCAACACGTGCAGCAAGGCGTTTACTCGGAAACGCATCTTGGCGGATCACGAAAGAATTCACACCGGAGAGAAGCCGTTCAAGTGCAACACGTGCAGCAGGGCGTTTGCGGCTTATAGCAATTTGCACACTCATCGGAAGCTACATCGCAAGTGATCGAAACAGCAACATGCATCATCGTTGTGGAGGGGATTTAAACGAAATACTCGAGCACCGACGTGTGTTCATTTGGCTTGGCGATAGACCTGCAGCGGTTCTAGTTGCGAGCAGTGTGTGTTTCGCGTGGTTCAAAATGTTTCAGCCTGTTATTTATCGCGCAAACGCAGATAAAAAAAATTGTGAATTTACCTTAGTCGAAGGGACCAGAGGTCTTTTTTGTACACGAAAAAAAGAAAATATTTGAAGCCTTATCTTTTTTTATTCATTTAAAGTCATTAATCACGTGATGCACCTGGAGTCTCTGTGTTGTCTGTAGGGTCACTTATGTTCCTTACAAGTCGGCCTACTCATGACCATAAATATACGAAATTATAAAATAACTAAGGTCTTTCAATAGCAGCAATCTTGAATATTGCAAATGTTAAGAAAGTATCAGAACAACCGAGTAATGTGGAGGTGTCAACATAATTTTAAGGTGTAAAAATACAACATTATTTGAAACTATTTAGCACACCAAGCTGGAAACTAATACTTTGCTCATAGGACGGCAACACAATTTACATGACTCGAAGATTTAGAAATGAAGTGTAATTTCCTATCTCATTTCGTAATATTCTTCGTCCTTTTTGTTTGACCAGTTTGAGTATCTGAATTCTGATAACATCACTCAATGTGCTTGCTACATGTAATACTCGTATGTATGTTTTCCTTTAGCATGATTGTATTCTTTTTTTTCGCACATTCACGAAGACGGCCCTCATCATTTACGATATTCATACTTTCCGTGGTATACATTTGTGTTCATATATACTTCGTTGCACCTTAGGTACGAGCGCGGACGATGTTTTGAGCCGGGGGACCAATAAAACAGCGCAGAAAGCGCAACGCCATGGCGTGCTCTCTGCGCTTTACAGGACTAGCCGGTGGAAAAGCACGCACAGAGAGATGGCGAATACCGGCTACTCCTATAGTCCTAAGAACTGCAGAGAACTCGTCATGGCTTTTTTGCCTCTTTCGCTGTTTGATTGGCCCTTCGGCTCATAACATCGGCCACGCTCGGACCTAAGCTTAAACGAAGTATAGTTTCACTTGAATTCGTCAGGCTTTTAAATATTCGTAATTCCTCTTGTAGTAGACGGATGATACACATTTGTTGTACTAAAGGAATAATTGATTCCATTGTGTATATTCATGTATCTAAAAACTACATATGTATAATCCATCTAAATATGTCTTAATCTGCGCTGACTGTACAGTGGTTGTCACTATTGCTTGATGCGCCAGAATCGAAGGAGGGGGAGTCCTGTTCCCATACGTATAAAATATTTGTTTTGACATATGCAGGCTGTTTCTGGAAAAATGTGCAAAATCGCTACAGCGAAAACTACGCATCGCACAAAAAAGAAGCCTGATGCCGTAGTGGTCTGTGTCAAAGGAAAATTGCTAGAGCTGAATATAATGGTATATTTAATTATTTCCGAGTACTTAAATTGTTGAATATTAGTTTTAAAGATAATATTGTTCGGCATCATTGAGAACGACTAATTACACCCATGTTATAACGGCATGAGGCACGCGCAGCATTTTACGCGTTCTAAAAAAATGCTTAATTTGGACACGTATCTGGCTTTCGGTTTCTTGTCGGAGACCATCTCCGCGTTGGCAATCTCGCCTCCCGTGTCTAAAACGAGCAACGTGCGTGCGCCACCACGCATTGCTCGTGAAGGTGCGTCTTCACTCTGGCACCGATGTCAAAAAGGCAGACATTATGATACAGTCCGGAGGCTTTCTTATATATACTCTGCGTACGATGAGTGGCGGCGCACGCACGTTGGGCGTTTTAGACACGGGGGGCGGGATTGCCAGCACGGAGATCCCTATTGCAAAATATTTTTTTACCGGAATGTCATTTCCAGTAAAAGTCTATTTTACTGGATTATGGGACTGTTTTCACTTCCAGTAAAGCCGTAGTCCAGTAAAGCCGTAGCCGTACCATAATTTCACCGGATCTTGACCGGAAGTTAATTCCAGTAAAAATCTATTTTACTGGATTATGGGACTCTTTTCACTTCCAGTACTGCCAGAATTGATCAGAAGATCGCCAGATTGACCGGAATTTACTGTGTTTTTCTTTCTTTGTTTTGGACGTCAACGGAAGGCACTTAGGAGGAAGCCTGTGAACCGTGTTTGGTTATGTTTACCAGGTGCTGGACGATTCGGTAACAATTAAAGTGGTTAGTCCATATAGACCTGAAGGTTCTATGTATTTATTTAACAGGGTCGATACCAGTGAAACAATTTGCACAGCTGTAGACAAAAGCAATCAGACCAAATAGGAACAACCAAGTTCTTTGCCGCAAAATGTATCTATCAAGGTACTCACAATGCCGCTGGGTGAATTCCTAGACGCACGGTAGTTCAACTAATAAAAACGCGCAGGTGCACCACACGGACACACACAGGTATACTGTCAGCAGCACGTTTAGCGAAAACCACGGACGCGCGGAGCGACTGTCCGCCGCCGTTGAGAAATCCCGGGCACACTCGCGATGTCGTCCCTGATGCCGTCGCCGCGGGTGCACCAGGCGTCAGTAGCACACTTAGCGAAAACCACGAACGCGCGGAAGGAACACGGTTCTGACTCAGAAAGCGCGCCCGGAAACAGCAAAAACGCCACGAAATGCGTCACATCCGCAGCCGCACGACCTACAGGCGCAAAAAGAAGCGTTGGTTTGGTTCGCGCTTTATGGTGTCGGAGGACTACCCATTTAATATTTTGCAACAGAGTAGCGTATTTTTTTAATAAAGCCAAAAGACGCAACTGCTCGAAACCGAAACCGAAACCCGACGGTGGTGGGAGAAGTGGAGAGAAGAGAGCGAGTGGCGGAAGTCACGTGGCTACACCCGACCGTGCGGTTTTTTTCTTTTTTTTTTCTGACCTCTTCGTAGCGGACGACACGACATGCGGCGTACGGGAACTGTTTGCCGGGCGATTCTTTTGCAGTTATGTTTGTTCCGCTCGTTGTTCTGTACTCCAAGATGAGTTGTTTTGTACATTGAGGGGTTGGAGATGAGTAGTGAGTGCCCGTGGTGAATTTCCATGATCGGCTCCGAAAAGAAAACACCCAAGATGTTGCGTGAAGAGCTGGCTCACATGTCCTGCGTCCGAAAAAAAAAAAAAGGGGGGGGGGGGGGGGGGCATTGTGCGACAGAGTTTTCGAAAGATCAACGGGATCGGGACCAATTGCTGGCTGCAATTCCTGTAGAACCGCACCTCGGAAAACGGACGCTACCTGATTTATATGCTCCTTGCTTTTTGTGGAAAGTGATTGAGTTCAACATTGATTGAGACGTTGCCTCCTCTTTTACTACCTTCTGTTGTGTTCTCTTCCTGCCCCAGTCTCAGGTTTACAATCATGTTCAACTTACACCAGCTCGCCTGCACTCTGACTATTTTTTTGTTGATTGAGTTCGCAGTGTCAAAAAGGAAATCCCATACCGTTTAATTCAGCGAAGTATCGTCCACAACATTTGTTTGTTATTTTTTTTGTTTGTTTCTTCAGTGATAATTGTAAAAAAAATAAAAAGATATGTAAACATCGGAAAATGTTTGAAAAAAAAAAATTCACGGGGGATCGAACCCGGTCTTACCGCGTGAGAAGCGAACTTCTTTCCCACTAAACTACTGGGGCAGCTCCTTACTGAGGGATCTCTTTCCTTAGTAATAATTCAGCCGGTAAACTGTAAGTTGGAAAGTTTGATGCCGATTTTCCTCTAGCAAAAGCACTCCCGGGTCGAAGTGGGGAAGCACCACGCATTGGCGACATTCGCATCTGGTAAAGAAATCGTACGCGTGCATATTCAACTCGAAGTAGCCACGTCGTGCTTGACGTTTGCGCGAGCGATGTCTTCAGCCACGAGAAGGGAGCGACGGCTCGGCGACATCTTCGTGCAAATCGGCTTGGTGGTCGGGCGTGTCGTACGGGATGAATACCAATTCTTTTGATCAGTCCCAAATTTCTCTTTTAAAAGTAGACAGAATTCGCCAGTACCGCGAACGACAGTTCTGAAATAGAGGCCCCACGCCCGTCGTCCGCTGATATCGCCGTTCCCGCGAGCCCCACGATCGCGAAACGACGAACGCACAGAATGCTTCCGGTTCTCTGTGCAACTTTTTTTTTTCAATAAACGTATTTGCAGCTTTTTAGAAGCCACAAAAAATGGGTTTCATATTTTTTTCTATTTTTAATATTGAGTGTGTGCCTTCAGTGTCCCACGACTTTGATTAAATTTGGTGGTCGCATCGATACCTTAGAAAACGGCCCGTGACCGCGGAAAAGAGAGTGAGGGAGACTCGAACCGGCCAGTTCTTGATCGGCGATTTTCGGGCGGAAAGAAACCGAATTTCGAGCCGCAAATTCTGTTCTGGGTAGTTGAGCTCTCATATGTCACGTACAACTAAAAACCTCGGCGAGCATAAATACCCTGTCAGTGTCCCTTTAATGCCGTCGCCGCGGGTGCACCAGGCGTCAGTAGCACGCTTAGCGAAAACCACGAACGCGCGAATTGAACATCCGCCGACGTTGAGAAATCTTGGGCACATTCTTTTTCGCTCGCCGGATGCTTGTGATGACGGACAGACAAAGAGGCGTAAGAAACAGGTCACTGAAAAATATATTCTTTTCATCTGCACACCCAGCTGCTTTGGAAGATACAGGTCGCACACATGGAACGAGAAGCCGAGACTGAGCGTTCGCTCCTGGCCGGCCGCTGCTCGTTGACGGACAGAGAAACCAATTTTCTTAAAAAAAAAAAAATAAAAAAAAAGTCAGCAAAACGATTTTTTTGAATTTTACCCACGAACCCAATGCGAGGGAGAGAGGGTGCGTGGAGACTCGTCCTTGGTGCGAGGCGCCATAATTACACTCCCAGTCCCCTACTCGTCTCGGCTTCCCCCTCCCCTCCCGTCGGCTTCGAGTGACGGTCGGTAAACAGGGAAGCGAGTCACCCGTTTCGGGTAAGACTTCTAGGAAAACCGCGGGTCGTCTGCATGGTATTCGCGACTCCAGCGACCTATTAGCCCCGAGAAGTTCGCGTGGCGCCCCCTTACGGCGAACCGGGGTGACGTCACGGCGAGGAGAGAATTTTTCCCCGACTCGGCCCGCTCGCCCTGTGGAGGCTGTGACGACGCTAG